TTCCGGGGTGCGCTCCCCCCCGACCCCTCCCTCCGCTACCCGGCAGCCGGAGTTGAAATCTGAGCCCGGGGCTGGAGCACCCGGCGGGGAGCAGGACTCCCTCCCGCCTCCCAGGGGATCCACCTAGCTCCCGGCTCCTCTGATCTCCTCCCTCATCCCATCCCACCTCCGCCCCTCTCTCCTCTGGCCCAACTGGAAATACCTGTCCGCACCTGGCGAGCTCCCAGGTCCCGCCCAGCACTGCCCGCGGAGGAAAGGCGACGCCCCGCTGAGGTTGCCAAGTCCACTCCGCCCAGCGCCCCGCGCCAACCACCCAGAGAAACAGGCCCAGAAGGGAGAAAAGAGAGACATGCTGGCCCGGGAGATCGGAAGAGAAGGGATGGAATGTGACCTTTTGCTGAGCCCCCGCAGGTGCCAGACTCGGGGCTCCGTGTTTATAACTGTTATGTAAGCCGCACGGAGGCCCTGTGGGGTAGGTTTGGTCCCCGTGACTGGTGGGACAGCCAAGACTCAGTGAGCCGGTGAAGTGACTTGCCCAAGCTCCCCATCGAGGACACGGCAGAGCCAGAGCCGGATCCAGACCCTACCCTGACTTCATCGGCCCACCCCTGGGACATGTCAACCTCAGGCACGAAGATGTCCTGCCTGTCTGTGCCTCTGGGCCGCTACTCCTCAGCTCTGTGCTGCCTTACATGTGGATGCGGCCTGGCCATGCCTTCCCACCAGGTGTAAGCAGTCCTGTCTCCCTTCCGGAAGTCTTTCCTGAAAGCAGAACACTGATCACGCCCCCCACCCCCCACGCGAGTCTGATCTCCTGGGGTTCAAACTTAGTGCAACCGGCATTGATTCATGGAATCGTGGCCTCAACGTCAGGAGAGACCCCACGATGGGCCTAAACATTCTGCTGACCTGTGTCCCTGCCTCCTCCTCCGGGTGAGCAGCCAGCCCCATCTGACCCCATCATGGACCAGGAAGCTCACCACCCACGACCAATCCACGTGTAGGGACTCTCACTGCTGGAAAGTTCTCCCAGGGGTAAACATCTAGGTGCCTGAGATGGAAATGTGGAGGGGGACCCCGGAGGATGAGGGGAGACAGGAGTTCTCTCCCACCATCCCTCCGCACATGCTCCCCAGTGGCAGCTTTCAGCAATACTTAACAGTGTAACAGGACGAGCTGACAGTGATAAGACTGTGATGAAAGCGTGTTAGTGGACACACAAGAAAACAAGGCCAGGCAGCGTGCCCAGGAAAAATGGTGAAGCGTCTCTTGGCCCCTCACCAGCCAGCGGGACAGAGCTGCTTCCCCGCAGCGCAATGGGCTCCACCTCTGGTCCAAAGGTTGCATTTCTGCTGTCCCCAGTGTTTTCTTGAGGATAAGCTGATCGAACTTGAGCACTAAAGTCACTTTTTTTGTAAACTTGGGATTTACATGATTTTCCATTTTTAAAAGTGTATGATCTGGTCATTTTTCCTGGAAGTTTATTTTGTGTCTAATTGTAGTTATTTTGCTGTGATTCTGGTGTATCTTGATGGCTTTTTTTAAAAAACATATTTTATTGATTTTTTACAGAGAGGAAGAGAGAGAGACAGAGAGTTAGAAACATCGATGAGAGAGAAGCATTGATCAGCTGCCCCCCCCCCGCACATCTCCCACCGGGGTTACGCCTGCAACCCAGGCACATGCCCTTGACTGGAATCGAACCTGGGACCTTTCAGTCTGCAGGCCGACGCTCTATCCACTGAGCCAAACCGGTTTCGGCTCTTGATGGCTTTTTGGTAAGAAAGGGAGCCTAGCCCTGTAACTTGTCCCCTCACCCCCTAGACCAAAATAAATGGGGGGAGGGGGGGGGACTAGTCCCTGAGGCTCACAACTGAAGATTTTCCTCAGGTTGATCTCAACCAATAACCATTACTCTCTGGGAAAGTTTATCTAGCCAACTAGGATTCTGCCTAACCAAAGTAACTTATTTTCAGCTTGTTGACAAAAGATCCCTACAGGTTGTCAATTCCAGGGATTTGGTTGACCACGTGCCCATGAGCACTGGTCCTGATTTAAAAAAAAAAAAAAGGTGTGGTATCTCCCAGATTGTCATGTAACTGTTGGTGTGCTGTCTCCTGTCCGGATGAGACTCTGGCCCCATGAGCGTGTGGAGCCTGTCTTGTTCATCCTTGAATTCCCCCACAGCCCTTAGTCTCTCGCAGGGGCCCCGCCCACCCCTCTAGACTCATTTGTCTCCTACCCCTTTATCAGGAGCAGTACGTGGCCTTGCAGCCCCTGGAATTCCCTGTGCTTTTTCACGTAGTGTCTTCTCCCTTATCTGCTGTCTGGCTACAAAGTCCTCGTTCTCCCTTCCCAGGACTCTCCCTGCTAATCACTGGTCAAATTCTGTTTACCTCTTCCCTCAGGGCCACCCCATGTCTGACTCCTCACACCATGCCCTCGCCTTCACCCACAGCCCTTGTCACCTTCGCTGTGATTATATCGCCGTGATTATATCCTTACACACCCCACAAAGTCCCTTGAGGGCAGACAGTGTCATTTCCTCTCCAGTGCTAGCCCAGTGCCTGATGGTAGGTGCTTAAATGTTTGCTTTCACCTGCTTTCAAAAAGTGAGCAAACTGCCGTCTGCAAAGTGCTATCAAGTGATCACTATCCTGGCTTCCGGCAGAGGAAGAGGCCTGGCCTCTCTGAGCCTATATTCGGATCGTTTGAGGGTCTCAGCCCTCTTCTTCCAGGCACGCTTTTCTCTGTGTGTTCAGAGACTGCGTGGGAGAAGAAGGGACTTGGCCAAATTCCGGGGAGAGCCCTGGGCCAGCCGTCCAGGCACCATTCACTCCTTTATTTACTTTCTGTGTCTGGGATGCAAGAGCAAGGAGCTGCCCCTGTGTGTGCAGATAGAAACCAGTTGTCCTTTCCCAGTCCTCAGGAAGGTAATGAGGAACTGAAGAGCATGGGGGCTGTAGGCGTGGCCCTAGAACTCAGGCCTTGTAGAAAGTGGGCCTGCGTAGGCCTGGGGAGAGGCGTGGAAAACCAGCCTCGGGCCAGGGACTGCCTTCCAGCAGAACCAGGGCTGGGGCCCCCAGAGAGCAGAGTGGATCTGTTGCCAGGCGTAGGAGCTCGTAGGGGCTCTTTGAGGACTGGTTTCCCACCCTTGCCACCACCTTCCCCAGCCCCATGGGGCTCCCTGTCCTGCACATAAACCCTAGGTAGGAAGCCCCTCCTGACCTCCTAGCCCCGCTCCTTTCCTGTCCAGGAGGCCTGGCTCTTAGCTTCTGCCCATGCTGCCCTCCTAGGTTCCTGGTGCCTGGCCCACACGTCCGGTTTCCCCAAAGCAGTGTCCTCGGTCTCCACCATTCCCAGGCATTCCAAAGCCCCTCATAGCCTAGGAGCCCTGTCTTAGAAGACACTTTGGAGGTCAGCATCTTCGTCCTCACTGAGGGAGGGAGAAGGTGAGGTCCAGACAAATGTCAGGTGTGGCTTCTGCCACATGGCTTTTCCCAGCTCCTCGGACTCCTAAACTCCCCAGGGGCACAGCTGCTCCTGCCTCTGTGGGAGCCACAGTGCTCTCTTAGCCGTATCTCTATAAATGCACCAATCGGCTGTACCAAGGCCTGCCTCTCCTTCAAAGTGTGTGTTCTTTGTGGAAGGAACCTTACCCCAATGGGCGTTTCCTGAACAAAGTGTCCTAAGCTAGAGGTGAGCGGCAGGGCAGAGCCCACATCTCCTGAGATCTCCCCCAGTGCTCTCCCCACTGGACTCTACACCCCCTTCCATTCACTCATTACCGACACGTGTCCTGTCACTTGGGTGACTTCCCAGTCTCTCCCCAAGTCCCCCACCCATGGCAGCTTCACAAGGTGTGATTTTGGGAGGATGACCAAGGCTTGGCAGTGGCTGATCAGGCCTGGATGAGGAATCGGGGCTAGTCAGTGGGCTCAGGAAAGAACAGGACCACAAATTGAAAGGGCTTTGCCCAAGAGGAGTAGTGTGTAAGAGGTAGGCATTAACCCAGGACAAGAATCCAGAGAGGTGTGACACATGGAAATCTATAGAGAACGGACAGTAAAATGAATCACAAATAAAGGTTAAGGGTCCAGACCGCAGCTATTGATCCAGCAGTATCCCTATGGGGTAGGCACCAGAGGGTCAGAGCGGCTGGCATCAGGGAGATGGCTGGAAGGTTCCAGGCTTGCTCAGACCCAGAGAGGAACAGCACTGAGGGGGATTAAGGGAGGGGAGGGTTCCTGTCTCCCTGACACCTCGGCCTCTAGACTGGGGTGGGATGCATGGGAAGAGTTAAGTGCACTTGCAGCCAGGGTGGAAGTGGGGCTGTGAGAGCAGATCTTAGCAGGAACAACACTACTCATAGGGTGCTCAGTGCCGGCAATGCGCCCATTGAAGAGTCACAGATTAAGTAAATTAGAAGAAATCTCTCACTTCTTTCATTTAAAATGTAAACATTCTGTATATTAATGGGGAAGGTGATAGGTGGTGAATAATACACCAACACCACATTGTGAAGTCTCACTTCTATCCCCGAAGGCAGGCATGAGAAAACGTGGGCTGGAAAGGGGGCACCTGGAATGGAAGGAAACAGGAATTTGAGGGGAAACCTGGAGTAAACGGGAAGGGGGCTGGAGGGAGAGGAGGGGTGTTGGAGGGAGCACCTGCAGTGGAAGGGAAGGAGGCTGCAGGGAGCACCTGGAGTGGAAGGGAAAGGGGCTGGAGGGAGCACCTGGAGTGGAAGGGAAGGGGGCTGGAGGGAGCACCTGGAGAGGAAGGGAAGGGGGCTGGAGGGAGCACCTGGAGTGGAAGGGAAGGGGGCTGGAGGGAGCACCTGGAGTGGAAGGGAAGGGGGCTGGAGGGAGCACCTGGAGTGGAAGGGAAGGGGGCTGGAGGGAGCACCTGGAGTGGAAGGGAAGGGGGCTGGAGGGAGCACCTGGAGTGGAAGGGAAGGGGGCTGGAGGGAGCACCTGGAGTGGAAGGGAAGGGGGCTGGAGGGAGCACCTGGAGTGGAAGGGAAGGGGGCTGGAGGGAGCACCTGGAGTGGAAGGGAAGGGGGCTGGAGGGAGCACCTGGAGTGGAAGGGAAGGGGGCTGGAGGGAGCACCTGGAGTGGAAGGGAAGGGGGCTGGAGGGAGCACCTGGAGTGGAAGGGAAGGGGGCTGGAGGGAGCACCTGGAGTGGAAGGGAAGGGGGCTGGAGGGAGCACCTGGAGTGGAAGGGAAGGGGGCTGGAGGGAGCACCTGGAGTGGAAGGGAAGGGGGCTGGAGGGAGCACCTGGAGTGGAAGGGAAGGGGGCTGGAGGGAGCACCTGGAGTGGAAGGGAAGGGGGCTGGAGGGAGCACCTGGAGAGGAAGGGAAGGGG